CTCTCTCTCTCTCTCTCTCTCTCTCTCTCTCTCTCTCTCTCTCTCTCGACACGATTAAATTTTTCGTCGACGAGAAAATTCACCGGCTGAGCAGCAATACACCACTTTCCCAGTAGACTTCATCCATTCAACATTTCCCGCAATGAGTTTATATCTCGAAATTGTGCACAGCAACGAAATGGCTAGTGAACATTTTATTATGTGTGCATATTAATGCGGTCATTGCATTTTGATTCAATGCATCCCAAATTCAAACCTATTCATATTGTGAATTGTTAAAGAAAGGCCATAGTCACACATGAAAATTCGACTGGTACAATTTTTGGCTATTTTTTCCTCCACTCACAATATTATGTGGTCGAAGTGTGCTAAGCATAAATTACTCTCTGCTTTTATTGTCCGAACAAATGGCTGAATGGCGATAAATGGAGCATAGCACACACATACACATACACACCGGAAAAATGGGTAAGAAATGGCAAAAGCGAAATTAATGGTTCCAATCGGTATTCCCGACGTATTTGGGACAAAGAACACGAAAAGTGTCGAAATGCATATACATATATAAGTTATATGTTGTTGATATTAGCATAAAATCAATATGCATACATCTTTTATACTTTTCCCTAAAAATTCGTCGGAAAATCCGAAAAAACAACTAAGACAACGAAAAACACCAGCATCAACAACTGGCTAAAGTTTGTGACAGAGAAGTGAAGCGAAGAGAAAAGGAGAAGAACAAGAAAGAAGAGAAAAAATAACAACACACCAGCGATAAAACTCAAGAGCGATAAAATTCAACAGAAGATACAAAATAGAAGCGAGACCCCAAAAAATATATAGCCGAACAAAAAACAACAACAACAACAACAACAAAAATGTACACACAGAGCATTTAACTAGATTTTCTAAAGTGAATAAGAGATGCTTACAAATGAGTACAAGCACAAGAAAATAAGGAGAGAGCATGGTGCGGTATTAAATAGAACAAAATAACCCGCATAGCGTGCCAGAAGAGAGTTAGAGAGATGTAGAGCCATACGGATACCAAACTTACTCATTTTCTCTTACAAACCGTTTCTCATTCAAATTCACTCTCTTACACAAACATCCCAAGAGCAACGGCCAATATGTTTATACGCTGTCTATCCGCCAAAAATACACTGCGATATATATTCACGCTTATTGGACGCCGAATTGAATATATATTCTAGTGTATATTCGGTGTATTCTTCAGCGTGAAACATATTGAATCAATGAATGCATTCATGGCCACCAGAGGGCGCCTGAATATGTTTCAATATGTTTCACGCCGAAGAATACGTCGAATATACACTAGAATATATATTCAATTCGGCGTTCAATAAGCGTGAATATATATTGTAGTGTATTTTCGGCGGATAGACAGCGTATAAACATATTGGCCGTTTCTCTTGGGATAAACACACACACACATACCATTTAACGTACAATCAAATGAAAGGCACCAAAATGAAAAATATGCATAAAAACCGACATCGAAGAAGGAAGAGTTGATGTGTAACAGAAAAAGAAAGAAAGAGAGAACGACAATAAATTTGTTTCACTGTTGTTGGGTGAGGGTGATAGAGTGAGAGAATGAGAGTGATAAGTTTTAAAGAACCATTCCCATTTAAAAAGTTTTTCTAACTATTTTTTACACACCGTCTCCATTCGCATTTAGTTTCCATTACATTAGATACACGTTGACCGTTGAAATCCAATGGAAGTGGAGAATAATGTAAAGCTGTTTGAAGTTCTTTAAAGGGTGCAAAATCCATTTGAGAGAAGAAAAATGACGCTGAAATACACATATGAATCCGTGAGCATAAAAACGACTTATAAAAATTCCGCCGAATAAAGCGAAACACCTATTTGTTACTCGTTCAATTCGGAACAAATTGTACACTGGTATGTTACGCCGACAAATCTATGTTACGTTTTGATCGGCGATTTTTTTAAAGTCGTTTTTATGCTCAAGGGTTCATATAGACTCAATATAAAAAGAAATTAGCTTGTCTGTTGACTGCTTTTTTCCCCATTCATGAAGGATACACATAAAAAGAAGAAGAAGAAGAAGAAAGGCGAAGAAGTCTATCATCAGCATTACCACATCTAATTTTGCTGACGTCAAGCGCAAACATTTGTGTATACTATGTTTACTTGAGTACACAACGTGTAGCGCATTCACATCACATCTCTGATGATACGCACCACAGTCAAAAAAACAAAACAAAAACTGTATGTCTTCTAGAAACTTAAAATACAATTTCCATCGCAAAGCGAACAAATTTCCTTTCTTTTTTTTTACAAATATCGAAGTCAGATTTCTCTCCTTCCGTTTTTTTCTTTTTCTCATTCTTTCCAAACGTTTCACATCCATTTTTTTCGTTGTTGTTGTCCCATAACTCGCCTGAGGATTTCAACTTGTCCCATACATTCCTGTTGTTGATAGAATTTCCATTTTTCTTAGCCCACTTTAGGCCCAACACATGGTGTGCCGATTGACAAGACCACAACTGTGTAAATTAATGCGTGCGCTTGAACAAATATTTTCGAAGTGATTAGGACATTTTTTTGTAGCCCAGTCAAGCTTTTGCGTTGTGATCGACCAATGTTTGGGGTTTTCTGCGTGTGTATGGTTGTTTTTAGAACAATATGTACAATGTACGCGCACT